TAAACCTTTCCCTGGGGGTGACATGAGGATAGATGCCTCTTCCTCATAAACCTTTCCCTGGGGGTGACATGAGGATAGATTCCTCTAACTGGAAACCTTTCCCTGGGGGTGACAGGAGGATAGATGCTCTGTGTCAGCATTATATGTTATTACAGAATACCTCAATTGTCAATAATCCTTTTGGGACTGTAGGAATTTAACTACCTAAGAAATTTTGTAATTCTTAAGAAATTGTTTGTAATTCTTATCATCTGCAGACATTGTATTGTCTTGTTTTAAATATGGCATCATTTCCAACAAACCATATATCTGGAATTAGCACTGATGGAGTTCACAGTTATAAGAAACATGCTTTTCTCTCCTTAGGTATCTAGAATCCAGGAAATTGTGGAGGTTTTCCTGGAACACGAAGAGGAGCTGCTCACCTCTGATACCAGTCCAAAAGAGATGGTGTCCGTTATCTTAGCTGTCAATGCAATAATAGAGGTAGGTGTGTAATCTTAGCTGTCAATACAATAATATAGGTATAACATTGTTGTCAATATTATAGACAATCCTCTGACTGTTTAAACAAGGAAAAAGGACTGCTGATGTTATTTGACATAATGATATCATTGTCTGTTGTAGGATATGTTACATGAAGTCTGGCAGTACAGAGTGTCTACACATAATGATATCATTGTCTGTTGTAGGGTATGTTACATGAAGCCTGGCAGTACAGAGTGTCTACACATAATGATATCATTGTCTGTTGTAGGATATGTTACAAGAAGCCTGGCAGTACAGAGTGTCTACACATAATTATATCATTGTCTGTTGTAGGGTATGTTACATGAAGCCTGGCAGTACAGAGTGTCTAAAGTAGCTGTGTTCCAGGCCCCAAATCCACACATACGCGATCCTGAGTACCTGCCGTGGACCGCCTCCTCTGGTATGAAGGGAGTCAGGAATTTGGTGACAAAACAGGTAAAATTAGAAAAGTTGTCTCAGTTTGTTCTGTTGCTATTACTATTAGCCTAGATAACAATTGTCAGTTTGTTCTGTTGCTATTACCATTAGCCTAGATAACAATTGTCAGTTTGTTCTGTTGCTATTACTATTAGCATAGATAACAATTGTCAGTTTGTTCTGTTGCTATTACTATTAGCATAGATAACAATTGTCAGTTTGTTCTGTTGCTATTACTATTAGC